GCGGAGAAGCCACTTGAGGTGAGACCACTTGCTGACGAACCTGCAGAGACTGAATTAAGTTCGAGTGGGAGTTCGTCAATTGTTGACGCACCTGTGAGCTAGGACAGCGCGGAGACTGCTGGTGTTGCAATACCAGCCGTGTTGCAGGATCCTGCTGAAGAAGCCAAGGAATGCTCGAAAGCGAGGAAGCGCAAGAGACGCAGAACAAAGAACAAGCCTGCAACGGTGGAGAAGGAGACAAGGGGCTTCGAGACGCAACTTCCACCCAGAGAGCTCTGCCTAAAGCGACCAAGAAGGAAGCAGAAGGCGAAAGTTCGATTGTCGGATTATGTGGTAGGCCTAGTGCAAGCTACGACTATGGATGTGCAAATCCCGACGACGTACAAACAAGCACGTGCAAGCAAGTACTGGCAGCAGTGGAGAGCTGCAATGTTGGTGGAACTTCAATCGCTGAAAGGTCACACGACCTGGAAACTTGTACCCCGCAAGGATGCCAAGAAAATGAAGGTGATTACGTGTTGGTGGGTCTTCGCTGTGAATCGAGATGAGCGAGGACAGATCAAACGACTCAAAGCGCGACTAGTGATCCATGGATTAAAGCAACAACTCAGAATCAACTACTCTCAGACTTATGCACCTATCATCCGGTTCGAACCCATACGTGCGGCAATCTACTTCGCTGTATAAAGAGGTTGGGAGGTAATGCAATTTGACGTGAAGACGGCTTTTCTGTATGAAGACTTGGACGAGACCATTTTCATTGAGCAGAAGGCCCATGAAAATTGTCTCGTTCAAGTCCTCCAGGTGGATGGACCTGGATACATTTGCAGGTTGTTGAAGAGCCTGTACGGGCTGAAACAAGCACCGAAACGTTTGGAATCGCACGCTTCATGCTAAGCTTGTTGTGATAGGCTTTACTAGGACGGACTCTGACTATGGCCTATATGCATTAAGGAAAGATGATGAAGTCAAGTTGCTGTTGACTGTTTACGTGGATGATCTACTGCTGATGGGACCACGTGGCCTGTGTGCCACGACTGCTGCCTCACTGCAAGAGACATTTGAGCTTACGACGATGGGCACAGTCAAACATCTCTTAGGCGTCGAGATCCTGACTGACCGGCCGCGCCGGCAGACTGTGTACTGCCTGAAGCAGTACGTACTGGAGGTGTTGAAGCGTTTTTAAATGGAGAACTGTAATGGCTGCGCTACACCAGAAGCTACAACGCCCTTGAAGACAGACGTGCCTGCTTCGAAGGAGTAGCTTCCCTACAGAGAGCTAGTGGGTGCTCTCCAGTACCTCGTTAGTGCATCGAGACCTGTCATAGCTCATGTTACCCGACAGCTAGGCAGGTATCTTGCGAGCTACTATCATATGCATGATGCACAAGCCAAGAGGGTGCTGCGTTACATGAAGGCTACGTGTGACTTTGGACTAGTGATGAATGTGAAGCTACAGACTGATGTGCAAGTTAGTGGCTACTCTGATGCTGATTAGGCGAACGACCCTATAGATCGACGGAGTATCAGTGGCTAAATCACTATGCTTGACGACAATGTCATCTTCTACGCATCTCTTAAGCAGGAGGTCAACGCGCTCAGTACCTGTGAAGCATAGTACGTTGCGATGACAGAGGCGACCAAGGACCTGTTGTGGTTGCTGGCCTATGCAAGGCGTTGAGCTGGAAGCATCCAGTACCCAAACTACTTGGAGACAACCAAGGAGCCATTGCTTAACTGCGAAACCTGGCAAAGATTCGAATTCGAAACATATCGACAACAAGTACCACATGATCAGACGCCATGTGGAATTGAAGCAACTTACAGCACAACACATCGGAACTGAGGATATGGTGGCTGATATCATGACAAAAGCGCTTGCAGTGGTGAAATTCACACACTTTCGCAAGGCTATGAAGGTCTTACCTATTGTGTCGAGCGACGACAACATATCCAATGACATGGCTACAGCTACGACTACTGCTACTGCGTTGACTACTGCTGTTGATGCGGAGGCTGTACCTGAGCGACATTGATGAAGACGAGGGCGATCGAGTGGGAGTGATGTTACTGTGTGGACTGCTATTACATGCGTGCTTTTGACTACGCTACTGCTAGGACTATGGTGGCAACGAGGATGCGCGTGTGTGATCGCGTCGACATCCAAGTGCGTCGCCGAGATCAAGTGGGAGTGTGAGCTGTAACTTACCTGCGTGTCAAGCGCCAGTGCAATGCCGTCTGCCAGTGTCCAGTGCCCCTGTCTACGAGCCACCGCCCAGAGCCAGTGTCTGCAAGACACATCCCAAGGACACTCATGCGTCTGGTAGTGCAGCTTGCGGCTGCACTACAACATGCTACACTGAGTACACATGCGTGCAATGGCGAAGGACTATATCAAGGACTGTGTGCACAAGGACATCGTTGGCTGTGCGCTGCCAAGATGGTGTGCTCAACAAGAGTGCATTTATCTAGACTTTAGTATTGACTTATTTGCTATTTGTATCTTTTGTGGAACAGCGGTGTTCTAGCGGAGGCTGCTCACCACTTTGCGTTTTGACTCACCCGAGAGGAGCAGCCTCACCAGACTCCGCGGTCCTGTCGCGGCCTTTTGCCCGACACTTACACATTTCCTTGATTACTTTCCTAAAGTTGATCCTTAAGTGTATTTACATTTGAACGGCACCTACTAAGAAGTTGCTGGTCAAAGTGTTTCCACTTGAGCACTTCGGTTTGCATGAGCACAAATACACAGTTGCTGTTTTCTAGACCGTTTTAGGTTTAGCAGAAAGAGGGTTTTTACGATAGAGTGACAGGATCTGGCAAGGGTGATCATAATCTGACCACGAGCGGGGATTGATTTCGTTTTCGGTAGTTAATTATCCAGCCGAAACATTCACGAAGGGAGAATTCCCTCGAAGCTGCTATCCTTGTTCTCTCGTTTCCGCTGTAGCATGGCACGGAAGCTCTTTGGGATATCGTCTGGGTTGTGAATGCGACGGACGTCTGCTGTAGGGTCCATGCGGTTCCGTTCGGACGAGCGTTTTGGAAGAAGACCGCCCATCACACGCTTCTCGCGCGGTCGAATAAGCGGCAGAGTGCGAGTTCCCATGCCAACACTACAGGCGAGTGCGAGTGCTTCGGGAGTGCTGCCTCTTGCAGACGACGGGTTGGCACTGGAGCCAGCGATCAGGTCGTTGAGTGCTTGGTCTGCAACAACCAGAGGTTGCATCGTTGTCGGTTGAGTTCCCATCGGAGAGTTCCCGGGAAACGAAGATGCTGTTCGTCGACGTGGAGACGAGGACGCGACATTTCGTTGCGATCGCTCGGTTCGAGGCGACCCAGACATCTTGAATCGGACACAGGAAACTGCTTCGTTTAGTGGCTGCAGCGCGTGCTCCTTTGCCTCCGAATCGATCAAAGCGTAAGTTTTCTTGTCAGGTTTTGTCTAAAATACAAACCTACAAGTTAGAAATACATTCCATTGAAAGCAGCGTATTGTCTCAACCCACCGGATCAAGAGATCGCACGACGATGGCTGCAACGCGAAAACAATTGTCGCCATCTCTGTGGTAGCAATACACAGACATTTAGGGAGCATTCAACCAGTAGCAAGTCTGGAAAACTTACAGAAATGTGCGTCCGATGAAGTGCGAGAGAAGAGCGTGCTTGGTCCAGCCAGCCTTACGTACAAAGTCACTCATGCTCAATGCTTTCAGCGCACTAAGCGGCTTGTGGGTTGCGCTGTCCCAATAGAAAATCTACAGACATG